GGACTGAATATATGTTTGAGCTATCAGATAGATTCAGTAAATAACGGGAGATTCAAGATATCAAGCATAAAGTGTAACTGAAGCTTTTACTTAACCAAGTCAATGTAAAATGTAGTAATAAGACTTGACAAAAGTTATATACAAAATGAACAATCTTTGTTCTACACTAAACATAAAGTGTGTGTGTGCTTGCAGAGCACTTACTTTGGACAATCACTCTCAGCTTTATTTGGTCAAGACCAAGTTTTAGAAGTGACTGACTAGTTCAAGCTTTAGTTGCACTAAATGCCAGGTATATTAGTTTCAAGAAACCTAATATTTACCCAGAGTGACATGCACTACCACATGACTTCACAGTGATTGTACCACTGAGAACTGTCATAATGTTCATAGCAGATGTTTTTGTCATGTCAAACTGCAAGACCACTCCATGCTCTGGGTCAGCATTTCATATGAGGTTAAAGCCAATGAGACTGAACTCCTCAGGGTGTGAAAGTTTAGTCTCTTGAAACAAAGTATTATAAAATTCAGAGAACTTCTTAAGGCAGTACTTGTCTCCTCTTATTCCCATGCCACTGCAGTAACCTATCATAATGTCAGATTAGCAGAGTCTGGTGCACTTTTTACCCATGCATTATTTACTAGCTCAGTGTTTAGGCTTTGGCTCCCCATTCTTCTCCTTCTCTGACAGGTCAGTTGAGATCCACAGCCAAGTGCATGAGCTCTGTTGCTTCCATAGACAATCACCCGAGTGATATTTTTAATGTATCATTTTTTGTAGCAATACTTTAACCACTTGCTGTTCAGAACTCCTGTTCCTAGCGTGTCTGCTCTAACAAGGCAGGCTAGTGATGGTGGAACAGAGTAGCCTATTAGAATGGAACTGCCATTCTTGAAGGGGGAACACATTGGCCAATTGGATATAAAGATAACATCCTACTCTCTATAAACTTTCTTAGTTTGTGACCTTACACAGATTATCCTCTGCTTATAATCAGTAACTAAGCATCTTCATGTTGTTTCCACCTTCTAGTAAAAAGATATGACAAAGCATCCTTTCTGCTTGATGATTTGTCAATTTACCTAGTATATGTAGTACTATCTGGTACAACTTGCTGATCTAAGTTGTGTTAGGAATTGATCCCATATTCCTAAGATTAATATGTCCTAATATTGAACATAAATAGACTACATGTTGTTTATTCTACGACATTATGCCTTGTACTTGTACCAAAACTAAGCTCAAGGTAACTAATGTTAGATATATCACTAATCCAGTGTTAGTAATGTACTTGTGCTAACAGTAACTTTAACTCAAGCCAAACACTAGATTTATAACTAACACTGTACTCATGTTTATAATTGAACACATAGTAACATTGTAAGTAAAAAACAAAACACAAACTAACTCTGTACTCATAAAACCAATGATCAGCTACAATTTGAGCTGCTATGTAAGTGTACTTCAAACATACTACAAATAAACATGTAGAGAAATTCATCAACTCACCTAAAATTAAAAGACAACATTCAGACTGTAAAATGTCTGACTATCTTGTAAAAACAACTGTGTGCTAATCAGAGTTAATTATCATTGTTCTGATATTCTTGAAACCAAGGTTGAAACAATACCATCACTACTGCATAGAAAACTACAGATTTCATTTACTGAAAGATGCTTGATAAGTAAACTTTACATTAAATTCAAGGCAAGAAATCATAGTCCATAAGCCAATTATAACTTTCTGTGCTAGCAAGAAAGACAATGTCAAAAGTATTCTGGTCTGTTCCTGGGATGGAATAATGACTATTCTCCCACAGTAGACAACAATCAAGAGCAGATATTTGATTTCCTTGAAAATTATGGTCTCATATCCCTAACCTTCTCAACCATTCATGAACAACAAAATACATAAATTTTGACAGTTTTGTATCCTTGGCCTTCCAATTTTTTCATATGGAATGATGTAATGGACATGGGCTCTAAATGTTTCAGTAACAGTATTGTTTCACTTAATATGCATGATGACCTTAGATTCCTTATTTTCAAAAGCAGGCAACTAAATCCATCACATCTCCCATTTAATTTTAATATGTGTATTCATTAACTGCCAACATTCCATCTGTGAATCCATCCCGATGCCATCACTGGAATTTGTTTGTCCTCTAACAGTGGTTTGTGGCCAGTAAACAATTTCAAACTTTTGTGCATATAAATTTTGATGAAATTTCTTTATTTGAGATATGATTGATAGTGATTAACAGCCCTCTTTTTCCTTTCAGGTGGTGTTATAGTTCTAGACATAAAAGCTAACAGTTGCACATTCTAGGCCAACAAGGGAAACATTTTTTATTAATATAATATCTCTACATGGACCAAAATGTGTCAAAACCTCCAATGATCTAAGCAATTTCTTATGCTTCATCCAGGTTGCTTCTTGTTCCATTTAGTAGTTGGTAGAAAGGTGCCAAAACCAAGAAAATACTACAAATAAATATTTATAAAAATAATTCATCATTCCCAAGTATACCCACAACTCTTTGATATTGACAAGTTTAGGCAGTTGTTCAATTATTTCAAATTTTTCCTTAATTATTAATTTTATGTCCTTTCTTTATTTTATACCATTGTTCACAAGAGCCACTGAAATTAATTCTTGTAGGTTAGAAATACAATTAAGAAAATTCTTACTCTTACAGAAACCATTCTAGCTAATCAAGTGGTGATCAAAATATTCTTGAGCCCATTGGAGTTAATAGTTTACCATGTGTTGGGAAGTAACTGTAGAAATGTTAGAACTTAATGTCAGAATAACTCCAGCATGATAGCTTCCATACAGAGGTAAATGACCTGTGACCCGAGTATCATTATGAAACTCAAAGGTTGAAAAAGGGTTCAAATAATTTAGAAGAGAACAAGTGATGGAATCACTGCCAGATTTAATGTGTTGTTAAGCAAGATCAGTTCACATTTCTCTACAGATAAAAGGACAATTTATCCATGTTGGACATTCCACAGCAAACTCTTTAAAAGTAAAAGTAGTCAGAGACAGTTCAGACCCCCCTCCCCCCCCCTTAACACACAGTACAATGAGCATAACTGATCCCAGAAAACAATGAAGTACATTTCAAGAAATTGTATCTCTATTCTTCTCTTTATTTCCACATAACGTTTTACTGTTTCCTTCAATTTTGTATTTTTGCATTGGAAAGAAGGGGGATATGAACCTAACCTCATGGATCCGCTACTAATTACTGGTTTCCAGTAAGAACTGCACGCCACTGCTGACAAGGCTTCTCCAATACCAGAGCTCATCAGGTTGGCTGGGAACACAACAGTCTTGGTTGAAACAGTAATATATAAATCATTTACATTATATCAATTATTATGGCATATAATGCCTGAGTCATTAAAATAAAAGATCTGTAGAAAATTATTAAGATTGGTAATTTGTGTGCCATCATAATAAATCAGTAGATCATGTGCCACCAGCATAAGGTGTTATATACTATGATAATTTATATATACTTAGAATGATTAATTTTATCAATTGAAGCAGCCAATTTTCCTCTATATATTATACGAACATGGCAAGATTAACAATTGCTTGCGAGTTATCGGTTTGATTGTGTTTGTGCAACCTGGAAGGGTCAGGTGCTATGAAGACCCCTTCCTCCTGTTTGCAAGTAGTGACTAATCATTTCACCTTTTAAAATAGCTCATTGTTAGTGTTATCAGGTGTCATAGCATGATATTTTGATCAAGCTCAATCTGTATCTAATAATCAGGGTTGGTTTGCTATAAATAACAATTTTTTGTATTTTTGTTTGATTACATGAAACTTAACAACATATTCAATAAAAATACGGATTTCTATCTCAAATTATCTTTGTTTGACAACACATGCCTACCATACCACATTCAAGAATAATATAAAACTTCAGATCTCTGTTTGTGCTAAACATTATGCTTGATGTTATCTGAAAAAATAATTTTGATCTTGTTAACAGTTGGTGTGAATATTCATAATCATGCTTGGATTACCAACCGATAAAAAATGCCAGTACCGCTTGGTAGTTACTGACTAAACACGAGTACCTACTGGCATTTTCCAGCTCAGTGGTGGTAATAAAGACAAGGAAAAAAGCCAATTAGAAAAACAAGACAAAAGAATCACACAAACAGGTAAAAAATATATAAATGTACAAAGCAAACAAATAAGAATGGATAAACAAAACAATAGGGTTAAAAAAGTAAGTGCTGAACAATAATGGGAAGCCACTGATTAGAAAACTGTATTAATAACAGCTTAATTATTACCTCAGTTGATTTCCATAATTGGTTTAGCTGTTATTGATACTGTTTTCCAAAATACTTTTTTTTACCTGTTTGTGTAATTTTTTTTGTCTTTTTTTTACGACTGATCTTATTGCCATTGTCTTTTCTAGTTAAATTCTTTCCAGTTACCCCTACCACTCAGTAATTTTGAGTCCCTTACTACTCAATACTGACAGCAGTAGATAAGAGGTTATCCTCAACTAAACGTCCCAAGTGACTTTTCTGTTTTCATAGATTGTGGAAGAAAACTATGATGCACGAGATAATATAAAATGAGTGAAATTTCTACTTCTTGTCGTGAGGGCGTTACAAAGGATCAAATTTTGTGAAACTAACAGGCAATGTGAGACTATCTCTGTAATAAAGTCTTAATAATTATTACTAGTCAAGTAGGCCTAAATAACAAATTATAGTACTAGTAGTAAGAATAGGCAAACTCGTGAGAGTAGAGGCTAAACCGCATCAACACAAGTAAGCCAGCATTTGGCTAAAGAAAATAAACAGGTTTAGCAAATAATTAAACAATATATAATAAAAACAGCGTGAACATATTGCAACTTTTCGTAACAATACGAAATAAACTAACTAACTAAATAAGAGACAACAAATCTATAACTAGTTTAAGTTCTTTTTGTTTTTGTTTTTTTTCTATTTAACTTACCATTATTTAAAATCGCTTCAGTTCTCGCATATTACGAGAGTCAGTATATATGGCATACAATCCGTGGTGAAGGTGATGTTTACGTGGTTTTATATAGGTTTTACTCAATATCTCGTTTAGCCTATAAAACCAGGGCTGGTGGTAGTAGAAGTAGCACTAGCAGTAATAGGCGAACGGAACTGATTTAAGTTTATTGCTGCTCATTAATATTAGGCCTAATTGTCTGTGTTTTGTGCTTTTGTTGATAGTGTAATTTTTAGTATACCTAGAAAAGTCTAACTTCGAATTGGTGTTTTTTTTCTTTTCTTAAATCTCCATGAAATGAACGTTACGTCGCAAGGAGTCGCAGGATAACACATTACTGTCATTAGCACAATAGCAGCAGACAACTTCACGCATAGAATTTAGGTAAATATTAGGTGAAGAAAGTTGGAGCAATTTTTTAATTTAATTTCATAGTTTCAACTTTAATACCAACTTTTGTTTTGCACTTTGTATATTGTATTTGAATATTTATTTAATATAATCATAAAATGTAACATGTTTTTGAATGACAACTGTTAGTGTTTAAAGTTGCTACCACAGTTGGTATTCTTAAGAAAGTATTCTGCTAATTTAGAAGAATAAAGACTAATATATCATGATTAATATATTTTACAGATTATATACTGAAATTTATGATGCGATAGGGAAAACTGATATTACAAAAATGAAGTCAAATTTGTAATGATTTCATTGTCAGTAAATTGATAGTTCTTGATGCTAATTAATGTGACATTTTGTTAATTTTAATGTATTTTGTAGTTTCTTGTATTTATTTTTATTTGTAACATGTCATGTGCTTATAACACTGCATTTTGTTCCTTGTTTAAAAACAATGCAATCTAAGACTGCATATCTGATTTGTTCTACTAGTACTACTACTAGTGTATTTCATAGTATTAAATTTATATAATTATTTAGGATTAAATCACTTATTTTTAGTATTCTAGTAACTGATCTTTTAAAGTTTATTTGTATATATTATTAACCTATGAATTACTAAGTCAGTGATGTAAGTGATAGAATAAAATTGAACACATCAAGCAGCCAACCAATTACATACATGTGTAAATGTATCTCTTAATAATAATGATATTCAAACACGTATATCTACCAAACAGATGTTGAAACAACTTTTAATTATTAACGATTTGGATTAATATAAAGCACATGTAAAGGATCTTGAGGTGTTTGTAGTAATGTAGATATAAGTATACTAACTTAATGGAGGAATTATGACACTGAAGTGCATGCATACTGGAGCTAATGATGTTAGTAGGATGACAGCTGAGAAGTTGTTACTCGTGTGCAGAAAGCTTCTTTGTAGCTTTAAGAATATATAGCGTAAAGACATGTCTGAGCAGAATAAGGATGTGTTAGGCAGGTGACAAAGGACTATTTTGAATCTTTAATATACAGACAACACTGAACCATTTGGTTCTTCAAGGCTATCCTTGCTCATTCACCCTTGAGAACAATAAAAATGTAAACTCCCTCTTTATTTTTTGGAGATCGTCGATTCTCCTCTAAATTTCCATCCATGGGTAAAAAAAATGTCATATCTGGTTATCCTATATATGAGGAAATGTGTCTAAAACTAAAAGTAGACAAGGAAATGTTTTATCCAAAGGACCAAAAATGTCATCCACTTCATGGAAAAATCTTGAAGAGTAAAGGAAATTTGTTGCCTTAAAAACAAATTTCCTGTACAAGAAGTGGAATGTTAATCCACTGACCTTTATACTGAAGTGTTTTGTTTCCCTACCTTTTTTTATTACATTTGGTTTAATTTTCTTAATTTCTTCAACCAATTTCTTTTTTGGTGCAGTAATTACAAAATAAATTTCCATTAATGAGGTTTTTTTGTTGGTTTTTGGAGGAAATTTTAGTTGAGAAAATTTTAGATATGTAAAAGTTTGCCACTTTTTATCACCATTTGTGGCAGCCTCTACTACTACTGATGGTAACTCATTCCATATACCAATCACCCTGTTAAATGAATAAAACTAACTTAATTAGACCTTGGCCTGATTTTTTTTTGTCAAAATTTTAAAACTGTATCCTCTTATCCTGTTATCTTTATAATACAGTATAAAGAAATCAGAGGCCTTTATTCTACTAAGTCCCTAGATAATCTCATGAACTTAAATAAGATTACCTCCTATGCTTCCTTTCTCAAGAGAAACTCAGTTATCTTAACCTGTTCTTACAACCTTGCTTAGTGATTTATAGAAAGAGTATTTATTTTAGCTTATAACTGTTATGAATATAAATACACCCTAAAATTATATTAGCTTTATCATTCACAACAGAGGAATGCTTTGATGGCTTGAGTGACATATTCACTAGTAGGCCAAGATCCTTTTCTTCATTTATGCTAATAAGTTGGTTCCCATCTCTATTAACAATGTGATTCAACTAGTTATAACCCAAGTGTATAAAATAGCATTTACTATAAGTGAAAGATACTTGCCAGGTGTTTGTACAACTTACCAATTGATCCTAGTTATTCTATAATACCTCAACTTCTTCAATACAGCTATAAATACTATGATAAATGGAATAAATATAAAGAGCTATAAATACTGAAGAGTTTAATATCATCAGCAAACTTTCCTAATTTACTAATTGTACCCATATCAATATCATTAATGTAAAAAAGAAAAAGGCCCAAGTTTTGACTTCTCAAGTACTCCACTAGTAACAAGGGTCTAGTTCGAATGGACTCAATTCATAAGCATTTATCCACCATACAATCCAATTAACTAGTATTTCGATATGGTACATTACCTCCACTCAGTACTGCCCTCTATATGCAAAAATATTTTTGCATGCCACAAACCTTGAACTCCCATGATCAACGTGGTTCAACCGCATCTCGCATGTAAATCATCATGCGAAAACCCTCCATCAATAGAATTGTGACACGCCTGGCATTTATCAGGTCCTTGGGTAGGAGATCCGGCTTGTGTCGCTTTCTTTTTCACCCGTCCTATATTGGGGTTTATCAACGTAGGTGGAACATCTTCTGCCATTAGTCTTTGAGCCAGTGTTTTTCCCCTTCTCGGCCCACTGTTCCTCTTCTTGCGGATTTTCTCATATGGCTGTCCACTTATAGGAATTTTATGTCTTCCTCTCCTACTTTCTCCCTTTTGTTTCATTCCTTCCAGATTCATAGACAGTCTGGTTGGGCAGTCCGTCCAGATTGGAATGTCAATATTGTTCTTCACTGCCTTACTCTACCTCCATTTAAACATTTGTCCTCATATTCCTTGTTTCACTTATCCCTTAAGACTTATTTCGTACTACATTTAGCCTGTGAGTGTTGTTGGTCTGATATATTTGCCATCAACATTTCAAACACACTGTACCATTCCATAAATGTTCTCCTTTATCCGGATTGATCTTTCCTCCACAAAACTTCAGCGGCTCATGAGGGACATTCTTCCTTCTCACCGATTTCACTTTCATCCATATCTTACCTTTATTCCCGGTCAGATCTGTATAGACTTCTATGTCCCATACATGCTCTTCCTTGTTACATTGCCCACATGGTTCCCCTTTCTCACCTTTTCATCCCATGGCAACAATTCTCTGTTCATGACCTTTCTCCTTCTACTCTTACCAGTTGGGTTTGGCAGTTGATTCAAGTGGAATATTGCTCCTTGTCTCCTTCCTGAAATCTGTTCCAGGTATTGTCACATCAGATCCAGCACCTTATCTTTTCCCTGGGATCTCACCTCCCTTGTCCATTGGAGGAAATTCTTCATTCAGGCATGTGGACTACACCTCGTACGTTCATCTCCCACAATATTCGTTGGGTGACTGTTTCTTTCTTGTCGGGGTACTGTCTTCCTCCTGTCACCATCCTTCAAACTTCAGTGAAGCTGTGACTTGGTAAGTTTTCTTTCTATTTTTTTTTTCATTTCAGTGGCATGTCCCTTTTCAATTATGATCCTGCTCGGTGGCGAGCATTGCCTATACAGGTATGCTTCTTGTTTCTCAAATCTGCCTGTATGGCCAACTTGTATACCCATGGCTTATAATGCACACTGTTGAAATGGGGTGTTCCACAAGATTGTTCGTAGCTTTTCTCGTGATTTGTTTGCTTCATGGTATACCCATTCCGGACTGTACTCATCCATGGACTTAAATTAGTAAAGCAGAAGGAGATAGCTGCTCATCCCTGCAGTCCCTTCAATTGAATAAATCAGGGGTGGTCTGCTTTTCAAAATCTTTTTTTTTTTCATGGTTGCCCATTGCACTGTTTCCAGTATCAGCATTTCTCCAGACTCTCCATCGCATTTTGTCCCTTTTTTCTTCTAGCGGAGTATAGGAGTCCTTGCCACTTTCCAGTTCTGATCAACTGGAGTGGTGGACCATGGAAAAGTCCTCATGAATGTGATTGCTTCCATTCTGTGGAGAGTAGAGTGGTGGTGCTCTGCTGGTGTAGATGGCATTAGATCCTTCAATCATGCACTCCACCTCCATGCAGTGTGTCCAAGAGGTTGGTGTTGTACTCAGCTTCTGTGCAGTTCTATCCAGAGGGTTGGGTTGCTTATATTTTCTAGATGCAATCCACTTCTGTGTGGTCCTATCCAGATGATGATGTTGCACATATCTACAAATAAATACACTCCACCTTCATGCAGTGTGTCCCGGAGATTGATGTTGTGCACAGCTTCTGTGTGGTTCTATCTGGACGGTGAGGCTGCTGATATTTTATGGATACAATCCACTTGTGTGTGGTGGGACCTGGAAGTTGCAATTGCTCTCCAACTTTTGTGCACTCTTATCCAGAGGATAATGTTGCTTGGAAGTAGATCTGTAGCATTGCAGTTTACCCCTTTGATTGGGATTCCTCATCCTACCATCACCTGGATGTCAGTTCAAAGTGAGTGGTTTTGGATTAGAGCTGGACCAATCAAAATAAATCCTCACACACATATGTTGGTTGTGTTTCCTCTTCCTCACTCAACTTGCCTCATGATCTCCACTTCTGTGCAGTGGGTCTTGGAAGTTGATGATGCACCAAGCTTCTGTGAAGTTCTATCCAGAGGGTGCAGTTTTTATATATTTGTATAGGCAATCCACTTCTGTGCAGTGGGACCCAGAGGGTAGTGTTGCACTCTGGCTTCTGTGCAGTCCTATACGGAGGATAATGTTGACTGGAGTGACAGTTCTCCCTCTCATATTCCACCTCATGGAGTTTTCACTGCCTGATGCTGATGTTGTGCAGGGGTTTCCAGTCCAATTGGGTTTGAGTTTGATATGACCTGCCACTTTGGCACATCTCTTCCTACCGTCATTTGGATGTCAGGTTAGCGGTTGTGGATTTGTACACACGTACCCATTTCATAGATTGCTTTGCACTGTATATATTTCAGTTCTACTAAACTTGAGGTGAAGATGGTGTGAACTCTTCTCTTACCCTGGGTCGGAGTTTCTATTCCCGATACCACTTGGTTTTGGACTGGAGTTGACCAGCTGTGTATAGTCCATTGCACCCTAGCCACTCTACACCTTGGAGCACATCCATTTTAGATTTCCCTACATTCCTGTCTGTAGATGGCTCTTCTACAGTTTTTCTTCTGTGAGATTGAGATTTCAGTATATTGTGGTTTGGATTTCAACCCACCTGGTTTTCTTTATTTTTTTGGTTGTGCTCCTCCCACTTTCCTGTCATGTATGCAACACCTCATTCCACAGTGGGGGGAGAGTATACCTGGTACAGAAGTAGTGCAGTTTCTCATGTGTGTTTCTCTCCCAATAAAATCATAGCCTTCCATTTCAGGTAGAGCCCCAACTCATCTGTTTTGTTTCTGATACTCCTAACATTATAATAACAGCAAATAAGCTAATTTTTAATTCTGCTAAGTTTATATTTGAATCTTAGACTTGCCTTTAAAAGTGTTATTTGACTTTTGCTCCAAATTTTGTTTACCACGTTTATTTGTTGCCTGCTATCCTATGAATTTCTTTATTCCCAATTTCCTTTACCATTCTTCATGTTCAGTTTAAATTATCTTTAATAAACATGTTTAAAGCTTCTATAAAAGTCTTGCTATCTAACCTGCTCAACTGTATCTCATTTCTAGCATATAAATCACCTTTACATTGAATACTATCCCAACGATCCAACCAGCTCAAGTTTCTTATTTCAACATCTAATCTGAGGGAGCACCCCTGGAAGGACCACACATTTAGTTACTGAAAGAGTAATTTATACTTACTAAGCAGCTCTTCTGATCTACAATTTCCAACATTATTTGCTTCTACATGCTCTAGAAAAAAAGAGAATGTTTTTTTGTACTAGCAGTTAAACTGGCAACTGCAATGTCTTAGTAGATATCGTCAGCACATCCTGGGATTAAAAATGCACATGGGATAAGGATAAATGAGTACTTTTACTGGGTGAGCTAAAGTGTTTGTAAATCACTTTATAACCAACTAAACTATGTAACTACCATAATTTGCTAATTTGGAAAGAATCTTCTACTTTTGCTTTCATAATTTTTTACATCTCCATTAAATATCACTCAAGAGCCTTTTAATTAATATGTGCACACAACACACACACACACACCCTGTAAAAATATTTCATTGTGTTACACTTGTGATGAAAACCTCAATGTGTATTGTGTAAAGCAACCAATACATTTTGGTCTTTTTTTAAATATTTTATATGTATATTTTTTTATATTCTTGTGCAAATAAAATAGGAAGATTTTAGTGCTAATACAGTTGGAATATTTATTAAAGTATTAGTAGTAAAAATAAGTTTTTAAAGGTTGATTTATGTATATGATATCACTTGTGATAGCCACATATGATTTAATCCCTATCTATATTGTGAAATGATCAGTGGATAATACTAACTTACTTATAGTCCCTATTTCAATCGTACATGGGTATAGATACATGTGTATATATATTTATATACTTTCTGAAACTTGTACCAAATTTCTCTTGTAACTTTTGCATATGTTAAGTATACACTACCTTATAATTTTTATTATATAGATTTGTCGGATAATGCAATAACCATGAAATAAATAAATTTAGAGGGCATTTACTGCAGATGTCAGTGTACCGAATTTACAATATAATTTTGAAATATGCTGAGTTGACTTGTGCTATGTATACGTATATTAACTTACAGAATAATTAATACTGTACATTTTAGGTAACTTCGGAAGGGTTTGGGTTTTAAGAAGATAATTACACTTACATGCATTACTAGTGCGCGCGCACACAATTATAAACACATATGTTTAGTTTGCTGTAAAAATTATTTACTCTTGTAAGCTAGCCCTCCAGTAATTCGGCGGTAAGTCTGAAAACCGGATTTTGGTACCGTGATAGGCACAATACAGAGAGCCTATTGTGTTGCTTTGTGCTTAACTAGAAATAAATAAAACAACCGATCTTATAAAATATTCAATAATATAGTTTATTAATTTTATATGCTCCAATACAAAGAAGATTCACAATGTGAGATCATTAAGAGAATTTACAGAGTTTTTTAAAATCCGACATTTTTCATTTTTAACAGTCTACGTTGTTGATATTAATGATAATGCAAAATGAATTATCCAATGTATTAGTACTACGAAGACGTGTTCAGTATTTAATGCAATCGTTGTCGCTCGTATGAGCGGCCAGGTCAGGCTAAGGAATTCCGTTTTGTTTTTTAACGTACGATGTTGCATTCAGTTATTTCATCAGTGCCGTTAGAATGTTGCCTGATTTCTGTATTATTTCCTTGAGTATATGCAGTTATTCCACGTGATCTGAGTAGCGCGTGTATCAGCTAAAAAACAGATATACAGGATTAAACAAGGTAAAGTACATTATATTGCAGTACCTGTGGGACATTTTTTTGTCTGGTTGGTATAATTCGAATCTCATTTGGAATTCCCTTTGGAAAATCCTACCTGCGTTGTTTCTTAGAAGGTAGATATTGTAACAGAATGACGCAGTTTTGTTGTTTCAGTTACGTAAGCACATTGTTCATCGTCAGAAGGGCTTTACAGCGATACTTAAACCAGTTGACTAATATTTGAATTTTTCATAAAATATAAAAAATGCAATTATACACACAAAGACACGTATTTCGAAATACAGTTTTTGTAAAAGAACTCGGGTTGAAAAAAAATTGCGTGTAGGAAAGTGTATCTCGTAATACATAGATGGCGTTTGAAAGACTTGTTTGTTACCCTGCCACTGTTTGTCGTTGAATGATGAAACCGTTGACATCATCTCGCGTGGCATTTCCAGGTGAAAATCGAATTGCCTTTAGTATTTGTCTCAAGCTTTGTTGAAATTATAACCTATTCACAACTATAGACAGCAATGTTTGAATTAAATATGACCAAATTCTTTAAAATTATTCCCTCCCCACCTTAGTGGCTCAGCGGCAGTTTGAGAGCTTATAACTAAAAATCGGTTAGAGCGTTCGACTCGCATTCTGCGGGTTCAAATCCCCGTCATGTTCGTCGTTTCAGACATGGGGGGGGGGGGGGTGCTATGAAGTGACCGTTAATCCCACTGTTCGTTGGTAAAAGAATAGCCCAAGAGTTGGCGGTGGATGATGTTGACTGGCTGCCTTCTCTCTAATCTATCACTGCTAAATTAGGGATGGCTAGCGCAGATAGCTCTCGTGTAGCTTTGCGTGAAATTCCAAACAAACTAAATCGAAATGGAGCTCGATACCTGCAGTAGTCAGAAAACAGATATCCCATTGTGAAAATTTGTGATCAACGTTTTGCGCTGCATAGTATTTACATAAAATATGTAGAAATTTAGTTAATTTTAGGTTACCTATCAATTCGGAGTATGACGTTACTAAACACCTTAAATAATTCATCAAAATTTCATATTAACTCGCAATAGTACGCCACCCAGTGGCACAGCGATATGTCTGCGGAATTACAACACAATAAACTGGGTTTCGATACCCAGGGTGGGCAAAGCACAGATAGCCCATTATGTAGCTTTGTAGAATGTTTATCAATGATCTATTGTTGCATTATGTCATAGATCGCCGTAGGTTTTAAGTTTCTTGTACATAGAGGTTAAAGATCTCGTTATAAGGCTGTAATGGAATTGGTATTTGATATACCTCGAATCATGTGTTCAGTTTTGTTACACCTTGTGTAATACGTTTACTTGTGAGCTGTTTGAGGAGTGGAGTACAAAGGTTAGACATGTTAACGTAGATTTAAGGTTTTGGGAGCTGCTATGCAAGCGTGTGCCTTAGCAGAACTGCTTATCTGATATACTACAGTATAAACGTTTTCTTTGGATAGTTGTATTAGTAGTAGGTGGGTGATCTTAGTGGTCTTTCGTATATTTGTACTTTGACTATACTTTAATTTTGTCGCGGATTGGCCCTGTGGTAGAGCTTGCGAACCGGGTTCGAATTCATGCGATACCACAAAATAGTCTCCGTACTATAAACTGTGGTTGCATTATAAGTGGAACAGTTAATCTCTTTACGTGGAGGGTGCTGCCGATTGGCAATTCTCAGTAGTTAAAAAATTAGATGCCTAATTGTTATTACAGAATGTTTACAGAATACTGTTCAGAATTGAAGTTCTTATTGATGGGAAGCTATTGTAAATTGACCACAGCTGCCATTATTGAATTATAGTGGATACATGTACATGGCATTCATTGCAATTTTCATACCAGAAAGTTGTGTAAGCATTTACAGTGCTTTATTACTTCAATAAATATCCATGAATTGAACTTTTGTTGCCGACACCTGCCCAGCTTCAAATGTACGTTGCGGTTCTTTAATTGTTTTTCTTTTGTTTGCAAACAAACGTGTAAAAAAATGCAATATAGACATTTACACTTTTGATATAAACTTAGTGTGCAGTATGGGTAATTATAGATAATTATAAGATGTTGAAGTAGAGCGTAGGATTTAAACTATTTGTAGTAGATGTATTTTGTATATTGGTATGGTATTTGGCACTTAGTTTTCCTTTGAGACAACCTTTTATTCTTTAATTTCTCAAGTGTTATTCTTTCGGCTTATTTCACCAAAACACAAATATCGATTTATCGACAAGCCACCAAGTGTTCACAAGTTGGTGAAGGCCACGTGACAACAACATCATTTCTAGATTAAGAAAGATTGGTTTTTAATTTTCAGATATATTAAATGTTTTACGTCACCATTCTGGGGAATCAACACATGCAACTTTTTCACACAATCTTTTATTAGCATAAGCATTATTTAACGTCTGTTATTCACACTGAATATTTTACCAAAGTGTAAAGAAAAAAAAAGTTTGGATTCTTAACGACGATACTTGTTTAAAATATTTCTCATGATTTTCAGTTCAGTTGCTTGAAAATTGTGGAGCTGTGCTGTAGCGTTCATTCACATACTGTTCTTTCCATAGTTCACTAAGGTAACGCACTAGAGCAGAAAGAACAGTCCAAGTGCAACATTTCTCGGTAATATTTGAGCGTTTTAACACTTTGGTTTGAGTTGACAGCGTGACGGTATTTCACTTAAATGACAACTGTGACCGAATTATCTATCGATGTAAAGGACAGAGAATTGTACGAGTGGAACTTTGAAAAAGAAAAAGTTGATGGTTCCAACTCGTTAGGCTCAGCGATACATGTCAGTGGACATACATTGGATAGTCTGGCTAGTCATATTAATCGGACTACAAGTATGGATGAAGGTGATGACCAAGAGTCTCCGGAAAACTATTCTCCTCTAGACATGGGTAACTTGAAATTTCTTTTAGAGTGCTTTTTCCTTTCATTCGGACCAGAGTTTCCACAACTGGGTAGGAACCATCCGAGATCGAACCCAGAGTATTTCGAAACCTCATTTTCTGGGGAATTTGAATCCGAGATATCCAGTTCCAGCAGTCGATCTTCTCAAATATCCGTAGATCTTGATCCTGTGTTTTTCAGACAACCTGGCGTTTTCGCCCCTCGCCATGGAACACATACCCAAATAGTAAATGACGATGATGTAGCTATGGAGACACTGGTGCCGTTTGGCGACAATGTTCTTTTAAGAGAATTGTCAGAAATGCGTGTGATTCTTGAAAGAATTCTAGACACCCGGGAACAATGGAATAACGACCATGAAATTTTGGATATTCTTGAATTCTTGGAAAGTCATTCTTCTCACAGTGACCCAACGGCTCATTTTCCAGTGGGAGAATTGGATTGTGTGGAGTGTGGGATCTGCCTGGAAGTTCACTGGTTATATCGCCGACCGTGCTGTAATTACTCAGCATGTAACAATTGTCTTCATCTGTACTTTACCACTAAGGTGGAAGAGGGGTTTGTCAAGATTCAGTGTTGTAACTACTCGTGCTATAACTTTGTTCATAGAGACGAGATCTCCGCCCGCTTGACTTCGTCCACCAAAGAAATTTTCAACAAGCTTTTGGTGCGAGCTAATGAAGACGACTATACAAAAACCTGCCCTCGTTGTAGCCACGTAATGAAGTTGAATTCCAGTGAACAGAGGAAACTTTGGGCTAATGTACGGTAAGCACAATTTTTTGAGGTTTTATTAGAGTTTAAAATTGTGGATTAACGCTAAACTTAACCATATATTAAATTATGCTGCACATATTATTTTATAGGTCAGGTATTACATATTTTATGCCAAATATGTAAATTAGGCGCTTTCTTAGACCAAGTAAAAATATACTCTAACTTCTTATACTGTGTTAAGTTTTTTGACCAGTGTTGTACGTTTAGGATAAATATGAATAACTAAGCTAGGCATGTGCAACGTACAGCCCGCGATGAATTCTTAAAAATATATTTAAATCCGACCCGCCCACGAACTCGTATATTTTAATCAATCAAGGTAAAAAATAAATAAAATTGCATGCAAAAAAAAAGACTATCTCTGACTTTTTTAACTATGCGACAAGAGCTGTTAAAAATTCAGCTAAGTTCGTCTATGTGTTTCCCGTGGGAATAAAGTTTGAACTTCAAGCAAAATAGACAATTCTCTATACAGAAAACATAATATAAAACGTCATTTGATAGATGAAAACCTTGGCTTTTTATTGGTTACAAATAATATAGTATTAAATGTAAGAGAACT